TTTTTGCCCCCCCCAAAAAAAAGGGGGGGGGGGGGATTGGAGTTCAAAATTAAGCTCCATTTTATTTAAGCTTCATTTTATTCACTCAAAGATATAATTTTAAAGAGAAGAGATTGAATTTTTAAATCTGTAGTTTAAAGCTTCTTCCCCTCATAATATTTATTTATTTATTTTTATTTTATTTATGATTTTTAGTTCAGAATTGATAGCATTCTTCTCATTTCGTTTTGGCATGTCTTTTGTATTGAATTTTCATAAATAGTGTCATATCCTCAGTTTTGGATCTGCATCACGGAATTACAGTTAAATTTGATTATAATGTTATTAATTTACATTTTTTTTCCTCTTGGATGCACGTGATTGTGGATTAGTGCAACATATCAAGGCTATAATTACTGCCGAATAAGTGCGTTTTGTTTTTTGCCCTCAGCATTTAGGCTTTTCATCTCATTTTCCTTGATTTTTTATCCTATAATCTTCCGTAGCTGGTGAAAGTAATCTACGAGGTTCTAAGATAAAAATATTGATATGGTAGTAAGATAACAAAAAAGTGAAACCAATTCCAATTCAACTATTTAAATTAATAGAATAATATCATAGAAGTGATTGACAAGGGAAATGAACCAGTTTGGAATATGTATAAATCCTCATTGAAATTGATAAACAAGTGCAATGTTTCTTATAATTCAAGTGTAAGCCTATGGGCTCATTAATAGCATTATCAAAATGAAATTTGTATTTGTTCTTGTTTTTCAGCAATAAGTCGCTGACATGGTTGAATAGAAGATGGATTTTCAGGCGTGTGGCTTTCTCATCTTGGCTTTTTAGGGCTGACAAAAATGTTGAATATAACTATATGAACTATGTAAAAGAGAGATGGGAGCACTTTGTTTATTATTTGAAGCTTGTACAGAGTTGCATGTATGGCCAGTTTCTGGTAACTGCTCAAATACATGAATGGTCGCACCCTAGATGCTTCATGATATCTCAACATAAATGTCTACACGTACTTATGTACTTTAGATTTGGAGTTCATCTAATAATTAAAAAGCTTTGCTTCACTTCATAGCCCTTAATGCATTTTGAAAATCTCAACGTGGGATTGTGGTATTCAACACTTCTGGTTTTGTTCTTGTAATGGATTGCAGGTGAGGGATGAGCTTGAACAACTTTTGGACGATTATGATGATATGGAAGACCTTTACCTTTCTAGAAAGTTGGCTGGTGCATAATCTGTTAGTGGCTCAGGTGCTGCTAGTTGGTTCCTTGGATCGCCTACTACAGGCTCAAAGATATCTAGAGCCAGTAGGGCTAGTATAGCAACAGTTCGTGGAGACAAGAATGATGTTGAGGAACTTGGATGTTATTGAGGTAACAAATTAGACTATATGATGGTTATGATATACCAGAAACATTTGGTAACGAATGCTTTTCTCATTGCAGGCATACTTCATGCAAATTGATGGCACTCTGAACAAATTAACTACTGTATGTCTATCATTTATTTATTTTGAGAAAAAAATGTTATCTTTATTTCGTGGTTACAGTTTGTTTCCCAGCATGGACGTTTTTATTTTTTCTTTCAAAACAAGGGTCTTTGGGATGTCTGTTAAATGTGAGTATTTTTGGAGCTGCCACTCCACATTTTAATTCTAAACGTGGACTGTTCGTATCTTGGGAATTCATGGAGGAAAGTGAAAAGGCGCATAATGGTGAAAGAAATTGTCATTTATATCAAAATAATATTATATTTGGGAACTTTTGATTGTTATTGAACGTCATGGAAATGGAAAATAGAAATTTGCTGATGTCTCCTGGAATTATGTTTTATAAATTCTTGTTGAACGTCATGAAAATGGAATAAAAATTTTATATATGCCTCTAATTTGTGTTTTTTCTTAGAACTGAAGTCTGGAAAAGGTTTATGTAGTGTTTTGCACACTGAATTCCAAGATCCAAAGGAAGCCTAGAGCAAACACTAATCTGATTAAACTATTTTCTGTGTTTGGAATGGAATGAAGAACCATTATCATGGTACGGTCTTCTTATGATTTACTTCGCCAAGCATAATATTCACTATTCAAGTGGTCTACCTGGGAAGTTAATGCCACATCTTAGATCACTATCTTCTTTCCCTCTCAATTTTGACCGTTCTCTAGTTGAAATTTTGCAGCTGTGTGAATATATTGATAACACAGAAGACTGCATCAACATTCAGGTAGAAAAATTGCCCGCAACTTTGTTTGATCGATAACATTTACGTCTCGAATGCATAGCAATCTAACCACTGAACAATTTTTTATCATTTTCATTTCAGCTGGATAATCATCAAAATCAATTGATTCAGGTTTGTTACACGCATGGTTAAATTACATGGTATTTTTCCTGAATTTCTTTTCAGCTTATCTACATATTCACAAATATTTTGACAACTATGAGGTTTTATCTATTTAGTCGTACCGCTTGTTTCATTGAACTTATAAATTCCTTCTCCTTATCGAGTCGCTACATTTGGATCTCTTTCCCAGTTACTGGAACTGTATGTTTATCTATTTATTCTTTGGTAGCCGGCATATTTGGCATGAACATTCCATATACTGGAATGATGATCATGGATACATGTTTAAATGGGTAAGCATTGAACTTCAATAATGCTATATTGAAGGTAAATTTCTCATCCTTTATTCTGGTTTCTGAATCTCAAAATGGATGGTTCCAGGTTGTGATTTTCTCCAGGGCATTTTCTGCCATCCTTTTCGTACTTATCTTTCTTATGCTCGCTGCAAAGGTCTTGTTCGATCTTGATTTTCTTTCTCAGATTGGAGGTAATCCAGCACCACCATTGCATTCCTCCATTTCAAAGAAGACTACGAATTCTTGATACCTGATAAACACCTTTTTTGGGTGCAAATGCAAATTGTGAAATACTATTGGCAACATTTTATTCCTTTCCTTGGATATTAATTATAAAGAATCCTTTCCGTTACGCACTTGTTGGAGTTTAATCATACCTCCTGTATGTTACAGATGACATTTGTAATCTTTTTGATGAATAGAGATGGAGAGTAATCAAATTCAGTAAAACAATTATGCTAACGTACATTTTGAGATAATGGAAGAGATTTCAAAACAATGTCTTGATTTTTGAAAATGTTCGCCAGTGAAGGCCACAATGTTCGACACCTTGCCATGGAATTTAAGGAAGATGACCTTCATGTTTATCTTGAGCAAATCTTGTAGCCCATAACCTCATAAACCGAAAGGATGCAGTGGCTCAAACGGGAGTTAAATTTCGTGCGTTCGAGTCATGCTTCTTGTCATTTGTCAAGTCATGCTTCTTGTCATTTGTCAGCATCTACTTGGATACTTGTTAGACTCGTGGTCTCTAATATCTAATCAATTAACGTTCTTTACTTTTACGTGAAAATGTATGTTTCATCTTGCATTAGAATTACAGTCAATGAATAGTACCTAGATGATCATTTGGAACTTTATGTCGTCATTGGGAGGGGACTGGTTCCTTGAAAACTAGTAATTTGGGAGGTCTATAGTTTTCCTGAAAGGATCTAATAATTTTCTCTATTCATTTCTATATTTTTCCACTTTCATTTACGAACAAACTGTGTTCGTAACAGCGTGAATATCCTCAACTTGTCAGTTTATTGGTAGTTAACATTGATTGATAATCATCTTTTTAAAAAATGTGGATAGTAGGCTTAGAACATCATCCTGCGGATTATAATGGAAATTTAGAACATCAGATTAGGGTACTTATGGCATAATACGAAGATATAAACAATGTCCAACAGAGTAGGCATAAAACAGAATAGTTGCATAAACTTACAAGTCATTTAGAAAGTCTTTCAAATGTATATTTTTCAACAAGTAGAAAAAAGGAAGGCAGAAGCTGCAAATGACACATTCTATGATTGCAAGTTCTCGAGAATGTTCTAACACCGTGTACAACCCGGTCATGAAAGCAATTACCATCGCCCCCATGGCAACAATAACAAGCTCTGAAGCAGACGAATACCAGAGCGCCCGCTGCAACTTGTTATGGGAAATTGCTCCAATGACGTAGAGAAAAACAGCCGAAGCAGAGCAAACCATAGCTAATGAATCTGTTATAATGAACGCTTTAAAAGCTGCTTTTCTTGATAAAATTGCCAGGCCTTCGTTTGGGCCATCATTTCCGTCATACCCACCTGGAATGGTGAATCCAGCAGCAAATGCTACTGTTGTTATGAGAGTAGCCACTAGCAGATGAGTGTTGGCTGCTTTTCTAATATCCATAGGAGCCACATCTTTTTTTTCAAGATAACCTTCCTTCTTCAATAGCAAACTATTTTGAGAAATCGCACCTTTTGCTTTTAATTCCCTAATAACGGAACGCTGCATTGTGTCAAACAAAGGAGTTGAATCAGGGACAAAAAGATAAACTAGAGAAAAAAAAGAAAAAAAGAAAGAGAAAAAGAAAAATTATCCATGAGCTGCATTGTCTGTGGTAGACACTTCCGTTAGACACAGAAACTTCAATTCCGGTATCCTCATTTTCCATCAAGGCATCAAGACATGTTTGGTACACATAATATACAAGATTTTCACTTATTTTTCTTCTTTAATATTGTCCTGAACTGTAGTTTTTCCTACCAAAAAAAAGTTAGTCCTAAAACCAATAATAGGAAAAGAAGGTATTTGCCCTATGTCGTTTCGATTTCAAGTATCTCACTTATACCAGAAAACTCGCTAGTTCGACTTGGCACATTACTATGATATGAAGATAATAACACATTCCTTTAGCACCCTTCAATTTGTTTTTACACGTTGTATAAGATATAAAGTGAAAGTTAAGTAAGTGGTTTCATTCAAAAATTAAAAAATGAAAAAACCTAAAAAATTGAAAGGAGATTCTCGTTACCTTTCCCAATGAATGAACATTGGAAAACCTTATCACATCAAGAGGCGTCATATGTTTCTTGTTCAAAGCATTCGTCTCTGCTCGTGGATGGTTTACAAGATCACGGCCGCGGAAGAGGGGAGTTGAAGCATATACGTGGAGGGGTGTGTTTCCCTCTGCATCTTTTTGGTTAATGAGGTTGCCAACCCATGATTTTTTCATGATAAAATTAAATGCTTCTCGTTGTTCAAATTTCACGGAAAGGTGTAGAATATTTTGGCCATCTCCAGTAACCATCTCCCAGCAATCAGGACAATATGCTAAAATCTCTTCAATTTCATTTACTTTTCCCCTACAAGTTGCTATATGAAGAGCTGTCTTATCATTATCTTTTTCTGCAGCTATGTATGCTATTGATTTATCAGCCTTTAATAGTTTCTCTGCTACTTCGTTCGATCCGCATAGTGTAGCATAATGGAGAGCACTCCATCCACAATCATCTACTTCCATTATTACAGTAGGATATTTTGCCAACAAATTTTCTGAGATTTCTGCATTCATCAAATTTTGAGTGAGCATTAGGCATTATCTAGGCTGCAATAAAGCAGTTCTCATGCAGAAAAAGCATGTACTAGAAAGATGAACACAAAACATATACCGAAAGACTGTTAATTTTATTTTGATTCACGAGAATACCGTAGAATTTGGCAACAGAGCTCATTGATTCACAATGAATACCAAGAATTGGAGAAAAAATAAACTCAAAGTCTACACAATTATCTATTTTGTCCAACTAGCAAGTGGTTGATTTATACAATGAAACCAAAATTCAAGTCATGGAGGAAATGTCAAAATTCCCGTAATAAAATCTTATGAAGAGAGAAATCTAAAAGTTACCATCAAAATAATTCCTAAATCAAGAAAAAACTAATAAGAAGGTCCTTTTATGGAGATTGGAGTATTGACTACGCAAAAATTTCCCTTGAATATTAGAAAGGCCACATGAAATAGTCCAACTCTCTTTAGCCTACATTAAGCTCCAAGAGCATCTTCTTCTTAAAGAACACAAGAATTGCTACTAATGAAATTAAAGACTTACGTTTCTGATTATATGAAGCCGCAGCATGCAGAGCAGTTTTTCCATTTGGTCCAGTGTAAGCCGGTGATGGGCAATTTTCCAATATGTAATTCACAGACATTATCCAGTTTTCATAACCTTGAACGATATCAACGGCAAGAAACAATGGAGTTTCCAGTTCATTATTCGCTATATTTGCAATGTCAGGGTCTTCTTTTGTCATCAAATCGACCATAGATGGACGATTATTCCTTATAGCCTCATGCAGTGCAGTGTCTCCATTTCTATTTCTGCATGATAGCAGCTTTTTGAGCGCTCCACCTCTGCCTCCGGCTTCAGGATCTTCATCTAACGACTTTGCAAATCTCATCATCTGCTCCCCAACATCTTTGTTGCCATTTCTTGCTGCAACGTGGAGCGCGGTCTCACCATCTGAGTTCACTTCACAGAGTAAGGATCCATCTATCTTAAGGATTTCTAATGCGAATTCCATGGAGTTGTCAAACTGGGCAGCAACGTGAAGTACAGTATTCTTGTTTGGTGTCAACTGATTGGTGCTGACAAGTTCCTTCTTTTCTCTAATGGCATTAAGATTGCCCTCTTGTACAGCTTCATACAAACTAGGATCCATTAAGATTGTTCTCTCGTTTGATAGCACACGAATGCAAAGACTTACAAAAACAAAATTCGTTATGTGCAGGATTGCAAGTGAGCTTAGTGCATTTATAGACAGTCTTGCAGAATTACTAAGATTTGTACTTTTACTACTTATTATGAGAATGACGAGAGGAAACGAGTTTCACATTATCTAATTTAGCATTTTTTAATATCATAAGTTTATAAAATCGTCATTATTATAGTCACACAAAATCCGAACGAAGAATCACAAAATCTGTCTTTATCAAATGACTGTGGCCCAGTCGAGACAAAATCTGTCATTATCAAAGGACCGTGGTCCAATTACTTGCAATACGTATATCATGTATCAGTTGCCTCTCAAGTGTTCATAATCTATTATATTTTTAAATAGTATTAGCGGGTACAGGTTATAATTTAATAATATTGCTCGATTGAGACTTTTACTTTAATGCGAATTTTTTCAGATTTCGTGCTCAAAGTTATATGCCAATTTTACTCTTTAAGACAATGTCATATTTAACCCTCGTTCATGGCATTAACCGATCACGGCCTATCCACATTCAAATGCGTTCAAATGCCACCCCGAACTGCCTGCATGCGATATTACTTATTAGTGTGTCCAACATATCAAATTGACTCCAAGTATCAAGGAATAAAACCACAAAGTACTCGAGAGTATGCTTCTTTCATTAGTAATACTTGCACGCTATCTCTTCAACCCATTTACTCAAGGTTTGAGATTTGTAAAATCTTACTCAAACTCTAACAATTTACTTTCTCCAAACAACCTCAAGTTGGATTAAGCATTGGGTTGTGATCAATCATATTCATCTCCACATTTATGTTTCCAAGCAGGGTGGATCTAGGAATTCGAGTGAGTTAGGACAGATTCAAGTGAGCACATGGCCATTCGAGCAGCTGCCCAACATATATACTCATTTTTTGACTCCTCCACGAGCAAAAATTTCATATTGAGTTCCGAAAAGTTTTTTAGGCACGTTGGTTTGGTAAGAAAGAGGATAGAAAGAAAATGACAGCGGATAATTTTAGATTTTTCATTGTTTTGTGAAAATTGTTTGAAGAATAATTTCCAATGCTTGTTTAATGAGACGAGAATGCACTTTATCGTAAATGACACATACTGAAGTGTTTCAATATAATATTTTGGAGAAATAAAATATTGACTATTCCATAGATGAAACTCATTCCCATACGGGGACGTAAACAAAAACAAGGACAATTTGTTCGCGCGTATGAGAAAATAGAAGGGAATATACTTTTCCATTCCAATTCAGAGAAATTTACTGCCAGAAAAAGACCCTTTTCCCCACATTTAAATCTCAATCCAAACAAAAGACTAGTACGAAAGCCTCCTAGTCCAAATAATTAAAAATAGGGTTCTGCTGTAGGTACAGCATATTGTTCACAACTTTTTTCATACACACACACATGCAAGTGGGTGGGGTCCACGATTATGCATGTGTGTGGGGTTCATGATTAAAATAATCATGGACCCCCCTTTGTGAGGGAGTGTGAAGAATGCTGTACACAGGTTTTTTCTTAAAAATAAGAATAACATTCACATGAGAGTCTGGGACCCACAAAAGGAAAAGAAAAATTGAACTGTTAGAAATACATTCCAGTTAATTCCAGAATATTCCAGCTCATGTTTATTTGTTAATTAGTTAGTGATCAGCCTATTAATAAGCAAATTAGTCGGTTAATTACTCGTCTTTTTCTCTATAAATAGAGCCATTGTATTCATTAATAAATCATTGGATTATATTCTCCAATCCCTCCCATGGAGGTTTGTCTTTCTCCTATTATGGAGTGTTTTCTCAATTAATAAATTCTAACATGGTATCAGAGCAGAGATTTCTTCCTGCTGCTTTTTCGTTTCTAAGATTTAATTCATCCTCCTTTTTTGTGTTTTGCTCAAACGAAAGCAGATCTCTGATTTCTTCTATTTTAGCATAATTCTGGAAAGTGTTATTCTAGGCAAAGGTTGAGTTCCTGTCTGCAGAAAATGGTGGCAGCAACATCAAAATTCGTCCTTGATTCTTTGCAATAAAATTTCTCCTCTTTCATATTTTGGTTCTATGAACTTTCAGAGATCTTTATGGATGGTCAAAGCCTCTACTATTTCTTGTTTCTTCATCAGATCTGGTGACATATGGCTGGAATTGAGAAATGGAGGCATCATCTCAAAATGAAGCAGAGCCAAAATTCTTTAATCTTCAAGATGAACTATTGTTGATCTCCATAGTCATCTTGAGGGGGCGTGTTAGAAATACATTCCAGTTAATTCCAGAATATTTCAGCTCATGTTTATTTGTTAATTAGTTAGTGATTAGCCTATTAATCAACAAATTAGTCAGTTAATTACTCGTCTTTTTCTCTATAAATAGAGCCATTGTATTCATTAATAAATCATTGGATTATATTCTCCAATCCCTCCTCTGGAGGTTTGTCTTCCTCCTATTATGGAGTGTTTTCTCAATTAATAAATTCTAACAAACCCCACCATTGGACATGGGAAAAGCAAATAGATACTTTATTTGCCTTCATCAAGAAGAAAAAAATGAAACTGGAAGAGAAAGAAAGGGATAATAATACAAATGGTCACTAAATTTTGCAAAAGTTCTACAAAGAATTACTAAATTTTAAAAATAATCTCATTCATCACTAAACTTTGCATTTTGTAATCCCATTAGTAATTGAGCTAACAATCCGTCCAAAAATTGATGGAATGCAAACATGCTGAATACGTGGCTTGATGTGTCAGTTGGAGGGTGTCATGTCAAACAAGTACTATACACATTGATTTTTTAAAATTAAAACACATTTTATTAAAGCCCTGTTTGAACTCATTATTTCTTCATTAAAATGAAAAATATGAATGTTATTCATCACATTAAGTTATCATATTTGATTTTTTATTTATTGTATGGGGCTCATAACAATTATATTTTTCATTCTTATTTTTACAATAATGTAGCTCAAACGGGGGCTAAAAAACAAAAGAACAATCTAAATCAAATCATCCCTCTCTCATATTTATAGAAGAAAATCCCCAATCTCCCTCCTCAAAATGAGTCATGCTACTTGTATAAAATTGGATGACAAAATTGGTTTACAAAGCAACATCTACATCAATCATTTCAAAAACACTTTTTCAAATCGTTGAAATCAAAAATCAAGAATTTGCCAACACTTATTTTGTCAACTTGTTTTGCACAACTAGATTAATTGTCTCAAAATCAACCACCGTCACCACCACCGACAATCACCGTAAATCGTATCTCCAGCGTCACTGTAAACCGTTGGCTATACCACTCCTTCTACTCCAATAATCTCAGCCATCAATTTCCTCTCCTCCACCACCAAATCCCTTCTGGGCTTCCCACAAAAAGTTTACCTTTTTGACAGGAATCAATATTAGTATCGTGTTTTGGAGGAACTTGTGTTTTTTGACTTATTTGTAATGTTTTTGCTCATTACTAGGGGGACCGGAATGGAGCCGGTGCCCACACAAACTATAGGTAAAACTTTGTTAAATTATAAATGATAATGAAAAAGAAGGCAGCTTTGAAATCATCAAGAAAGCTATTGAAAAGGAGATGTGGGAACGAGGCGACGACATCTGGAGGAAAAAGAAACATGTTTTATATTCGATTTATTTTCTTTTTTTGTGTATGTGGGTTTCATTGAGCCATTAACATAAATCTGTGTGCTAATTTCCTTTATCATTGTCATTTTTCTTTTCCTTTTTCTCTGTTGATGTGCGGATTTGCTATTATATGTTATACTACTAATTATAACAGTTCATTAGGGTAGTTTTACTTAGTATTTTTCTACGATGGGGATGTGGGAAAGGCGACAAAGGCAAGTGATGGTGGCTATGGAAGGCAACGATGCGGTTTACAGTGACTACTAATGGTGGTTGACTTTGAGGAGGGAGATTGGGGATTTTCTTATGTAAAATCTGAAAAAGATGGGTTGATTCAGATTTTTCCATTCATATATATAAAATGTAATTTCATTTTAAAAAAGATCCACATATGTAGCACTTCCTTGACATGCATCCACCGACCCATCAAGCCACGTATGCAGCCACGTAAGCTTTCTGTCAATTTTTGTATTGACTGTTAGTTCAATGATTAATGGAGCTGCAAAATAAAAAGTTGTGATGAATGAAGTAATTTTCAAAGTTCAGTGACCCCTGTGGACCTTTTGCAAAGTTAAGTGACCATTTGGGCTATTATCTCGAGAAAGAAATGGAGCAAAGCAAAAATCCTATCCTATGCTATGCATATAGGGACGGATCTAGAAATTTGAGTGAATTATGGTGGATTCAGTGAGTGTGCAACCACTAGAGCGACCATCGAGCAACCGCCCAATATATGTACTCATCTTTTGATTTCCACATGAGCAAAAATTTCATATTTAGTCTCCAAAAATCCTTTAGATGCATTTGGTTTGGTAAGAAAGAGGACAGAAAGAAATTGACAACTAATTTTAGATTCTCCATTGATTTGTGAAAAAGAGAAATGTGAAAATTGGTTGAAGAATAATTTCCTTTGCTTGTTTATCGAGAAGGGAATGTACTTTGTCAAAAATGATATATACAAAAGTGTTTCTCTAACCCACAGGGGATATAAACAAAAAAAGAAGGATAATTTGTTTGTAGTTACGTGAAAATAGAAGGGAATCTACTTTTCCATCCCAAAGTAAAGGACAAAATTCAAGTTTCTTCTGGCATAAAAAGAAAAAAACCAGTTTACCCAATTTTAATGTGTTTTTCTAAACATACAAGGCTATGAGTGAGCCTGTTTATTTGTTGCACAGACCCCCTGCCACTAGGGGTGCACAGATAGGGCCTACGTTGTGGGAACCCTTATTGGCTGCATAGACCGCCTTCCACTAGGGGCACACATAGGCCTTGTCCGTGCATTATGGCTCTTTTTTAATCCCAATCTAAACAATAGTGTAGTGCAAAAGCCAGCTAGTCCAACCAAATAAAAATAAGCATAACATTCACTTGGGAGTTTGGGACCCACAAAAGAAAACTAAAAAATGAACCCTACCATTGGACATGAGAAAAGGAACAATAG